GGAATTATGATTTAGCATTTTTATTTTTGAGATTAGCCACAGTAATCCTGTCTCATCTAGCTTTGAAAGAAGTCGTGCATTGTTTAGATGCTAAAACACAAAACTTCTATAAAAGACCATGACATTTTTTTACTCCCTAGTAATTTGTTCTTTGGTTTTGGTCACAGGAAAGTGGGAGTGTCCTTGGCACCACTGTGATGTTTGTGGCAAACCTTCTGTTTCTTTCTGCCACTTCTGCCCAAATTCTTTCTGCAAGGAACACCAAGACGGGACAGTACTAAATTCCACGTTGAATGGACAGTTATGCTGCTCTGAACATGTTCTTGGGGTGGATTCTGTTGAAACTCAGAAGACTGAGAAACCCCGCAAAAAACTGAACAAGTTGAAGCCTAAGAGAAAGCAGAGGAACAGATGGATGAGAGCTGAATGCAAATAGTCATGGACTGCAGTTTCTACTGCCAACACTATCTTGTAGATAAGTTGTGAATATGACCAGGGAAGGACACAATTTTACGTATATTCTGTAAAGGTTACGTGGGGGGGATTTTTTTTGTTTTGTTTTATTTTTTTTTTTATAAATCCACTGAGCCAACCACAGCAGTCTTCTGCTGCTTCTGCACTGATAACGAACTGCATAGTTCAGAAAATTTCAGGACAAACCAAACTTATTACTCAGCATTACAGTTACACTTGAATTGTTACGAATGTAAAAGGTTCCCTCCAATATTCTTTCAGATTGGAGGTAGGTTAAAAGCAAACCAGGTAGGCGTAAACATAGGTTTTAAGATAGTATTTGTCAACCAACAGATGTTTAAAATAGTATATCCTTGAAAGAAGTTATTAGCTTGAGTCCTTTTAAGTAAGAAATAGCTTGGTCCGTGGTCCCAATGAGATTTGCTTGCCTTGTGTGTTTTAGAGCAAGTGCTTGAATGCCATTCACGATCCAGGTGCGTATCTCGCTGTCACCACACACAAAACAATTTGTTTGTGCTCCTATAAAACTGCTCTCCAATGATTCCTAAACAACCTTTTTTTTTTTAAATATCCTTCCACCAAGAAATATAGTGCATGGTGGGAAAGGCACACCCTGTACACCCTGTACCAGAGAGTGGAAATTTTACATCGTAAGAGATTTTTTTCTATACTGTTTTTTCCTGTATTTCATTCCAGCAAAACTTGACTTGATCTTGCAGAGCTGTACAAGTCTGGATTTAAAGGGATATCGTCTTGCATTCTAGGCCCAATACTCTGTGATTTTTGTGTCTTAATAGAAACAAATCATAGAAAACCTATTATCTGGAAAAAAAAGTTTTTTCCTTAATGTCGAGTAAAATGCAGAGGCAAACATTTCTTTGGAATGCTTGAACTCTAAGCATTGCAACTTCGTGCAATGAAAAAAATGCCCAACAAGGAACAAAAGAGAAAATCATGAATGAAACCCTGAAACAGAAGGTGCAACTTGACTAGCTACTGAAGTCCAAAAACTAAGTTATCAAAACAACTAATTAAAAGTGAAGTAGATTTTTGATGAACCATGTAAGGAAAAATTATGGTGTGAAATTTAGCCCAATTCTGTTCGTTTTTTATGCAGTTTATGTAAAACTGGCTACTTGACTTGGCAGACTGTTTGAAATCATGCCTTCCTTTTTTTAGGAGCTCTGCTCTTGACTATCTTATCGCCACTGTGTTTTATCAGCAAAGCTGTTTTGAACACTTTGCTCCCAGTAGGTTCTCACAGTGCGGTGAGATGAATACACAAGATTTAGTTTTAATGGAAATAATGGTAGAACTAGGAAAAAATGGTAGAGAAAAATGTCTTTACCTGTTTTCTTCCCAGTGCATGTCATTGGTGTGTGATTAGGCAGCGTTACAAGTAAGTTTTGACTTGTGCCATTGTTACCTAGCCTATGTAAACACAATGTGCGCCTTCATGTCCATTTAGGATTTGTGTATGTTCTAGCTTAGTTTGCCTTTACTAGTGCAGAAACTCTGTGTAGCCCTTTTGAAATTGAAGCCTTGCTATATCTTAAAAGTGTATGTTTCCTTCCAAACGTATTTTTTCAGGATTTGACTGCAGATTTAGTTGAAATTAACTGAAATCCCCATTTGTTCCCAACACTTAAAACTTTGGTTTTATTAGGAGATATTAACTGAAACAGGTTTTAAATGTAGCTTTGCCCTGTCCTGAACTCTTTTAATTTCTATTTTGTAACCAAACAACTGCTTTGTTCTTTTAATCCATTGTATAAACACTGTTGGAAGATGTTGTTTTTTATTTTCCCCAAGTAATTATGAAAAAAAATAGCACAGTTCGAAGTAGGGGGAAAGTGTTAAATATTTGTATTCTAGAACTGGTATACCAAGCCTTGCACTCAAGGAAGAAAATGAAGATTTCTTAATTGAGTTTGAGGAGAAACTTTTCCTCTACTATAGATATTTGTAATACCGAGACTGAAGCATAGGCCTGTGCTTAAAATCAAAACCAAAAAAATTGTGTAATGTACATTGCTATTGCTTTTTGAGGGGAGGAAAGTGAAATCAGGTAGTAAAGTAGAAAGATTTTCCTCATCACTTTTAAACAAAATGAAGGAATTTTATGTCATTGGGACCATTATTTGTTTGAATACTATACCATGTAAGGAAGGCTTTATAAGAATACCTTTAAATAAGTTATTATAAAATCTTACCTTTACATTCCACTGCTTTTATAATTTGTTAAATTGTTAGTTGTTTTATTGCTTTTTCTCTTCATACATAGGTATAACAGCTCTGGCACCCTGGAACAGTTATGCCCAAAGTCCTAATAGGCAGATACCCACTTCCAGAAGCCATCAGCTTCATTGATCAGTTATTGATTGGCACTGTTGCAGAAAAACCATCAGTTTTCAGATCGGTCGCGGAGCCTACAACTCCCCGCCTTCCTTGCAGGTGGGGTCACAAGCACATTTAGTACGGCAGGATGCAGTACAGCCACCCATTTTGTATCTGTCTGTGGGTAAATAAAGACGTCAGTGTTCAAAGCAATCGCTCTCAGCACTCCTTCGTAATGCTAAATTTACACAAACAGATCTTAGCGAGTGGCTGTTTGACTTTCTGCTTCCTTCTACCTCTTCTCTACTCTTTGTTACTGAGCTCCTCGGGCCAATGAAGGCTTGCATCGCAGACAAAAAGACTCCAGACTAGAGGTTTGCTTTTGAGTTGCTAGGACTTTGTTCCTTCTGCTGATTACATACTTTGGAGATTGATCTTTAACAGAAACGTGGACCATGTTCTTCCTTAATAAGTACTGACCCTGCGAGCTCAGCTCGGTCACTCAGAAGGTGATCTGGGAGAATTTTAGCGTCTGATTCAGGAAGGGTGTTTTTTAATGAAGGCTTCTATACCTTACTCTGCAGCACTGGGAAATGAGACTGAAGTATTGTTTTAAAAAGATGGCAAAAGAAAAGTTGTTTCACTATTTTCTTTCTCCCACTGTTCAAATACAATCTTGGAAAAATTGAGCTTTCTCATGATGCAACTCAATGCTTCTTAGCATCAACAGCTTAAAGATTTTCTGTTATAAATTCATCTAAATAACGTCTAAGTATGGCATATTATGTGGCATTAAATTATGTAATTTGTGTCTCACCCATAGAAATAGAAAGATGTCTTTCCTTTTCCAGCAGACTTGTCCAAGCTGGTACATAATAGGCAAATTCAAAATTTGTTGTTCCTTCATCACGTGAGCAAGCATGGAAACAATTTTCTTTTGAATATGTTAGATGAATTTGCTTACAGTCTAGGAAGAATAATCAGATTAAATGTCTGTTTTGTTCTGTAGCTTTGTGTTCATGGTCAATTTTTAGGGGCTTTTTTATTTGAATTACTTTGAGAAGCAGAATACCTTGAGAGACACATTAATGCAATTTTTCCACATTGTTGAGTCACATTATTCCATGTCTGACTGCTTGAGAAACTTCAGTGTCTTATTAAATATTAAAATTTATTCCTAGTTATTTAAGAGGTTGCTAATTCTTTTTCTTGGGAAAAAAAAATCGCAGCTTTAAAAAAAATGTGTTAATTATTTTTTAATCAAATACATGATCTGCAGGTATGGCTTGGCAGTGAGCGAACTGGATGTTGTTTTTCTTAGTGAGAAGTTGCACTCCAGGATTTCCTAAGAGACTCACTGGAAATAACACTTACAGCTTATGTGGAACTGGTGGTGATTGTGCTTTGACTTGTTTCCACGGCATTGCTTATCACATAAATATTGACACTTTTGGCAGTCCAGTTTTTCCTGTTAGGGTGCTGTTTTCTGTTGCTTCTAATTTTGCAGACTTGCACCATCTCGAGCTGCAGTCAGGCACTCCCACCAGGGCTGGGCTCAGCTGGCTGTCACTGCTGCTGCTCCTGTTGGGCCAGGTTTGAATTCAACCGCGTTTTTCGTTTTCAGCCAGATTTTAGTTTGGGTCTTACCCCATCCCTGAGCTCTCCAGGGACATCCCCCTACTCTCTGGAGGACAGAAGAGGGTTGCAGGCATCATTCCTGCAGCCCCTGTGGACTGCAGCACGTGAGCCATGAGGAGGAGACCCCACCCTGTCCCCAAGTGGCCGCTGCTGGCATTTCTTAGAGCTGGGGAAGCCCTAAGGGACAGCAGCTTTCAAGCAGGTAGCTGGGGGTGAGGAGGAGAGGGGGAGAAGGGACTAAAGAGTGAAGACAGGAGGTAACCAACAGTAACCATTTCTCTCTTCAGTGAGAAATGGGGCTTGGGAGCAGGTGGACAAAAAACGAGGTTGAGGGATGGTTCTAGGGCAGAAGGGGGCTGGGGCAATCCTCAGGGGAAGGATAACGAGGTGGGACAGGATTGAGCTTGGTGTGTGGTTTAGAGATACTGTCCCTGCTGCTGCTGATCCAGGTGACGGGGCTACTGCCTGCATTCCTGCCACCCACAAAGAATGACACCTCTCTTCCAGTTCATTTACTCATCTGACATAGCCAAAAGAGAGCAGAGAAGTGATTTTTTTTTCTTTTCCTTTTTATTAAAAAGCACAGTAACCTCCCCTGGGGTGAGGAGAATGAGTAGGGGAGGGCAGAAACCACTTAACCCCCCGCCAGCTGCGTTCCTTCAGCTGACTGCTGCTGCCTAAGCCCAGGGAAAAGACTGAAGTGAGAAGTAACACCTGCTGCCACCTCCACGCACACTCGTTTCAAAGCCTAGCTCTTTTAATAGTAAGTACTGCTTTCACGGGGGCTCTCAGAGCTAATGAAGCACGGCTTTGTGCACGTGTCACAGCTGGCTGGTCCGTGCAGGGTTTTGCAGTGCACCTGGTCCGTGAATGAATCTCACTCTAGAAGAAGAGAGGCCCCACTGATGACCCCATTACAGCTGATGGGCGTTTCTGCCTGCCTGCTGGGCTGCTGAGATCAAACGGCAACGAGGACAAGGTGCATAACGCAAAACGTAATGAGAAAGAACATAATAGGGAAAATACAGCAGTTTTAAAAAGAGGTAGCCAGCCACACAGACACCGACAAGGTTTTAAATTGTTGCTGTGAAATATAAATCACATCTCTGTAGCCAGCTGGAATTGTCACCTGAGCTGGCTGTACAGGAGAAGGTTTTGTGTCAGGAGCTGCACCCCAAAGGACTTCGTGCAGTTTCATGTCTTACCTGTGTGGCTTGGCTAAGAAAGAAAATTCCTGCCAGGTTTGCCCAAAGTTTGTCTTTGCTTCTGTAGGATGAGGCACTGTGTTAGAGACTGCAGCAGGAAACACAAGGGATGTATTTGTCTAGGAATCAGCCATTAGCTCAGTTGCATGTGTTTTCCCACAGCTGAGAGGAAGGGGAAAGCTTTGGGATCCTTTTCCTTATTTTACCCTTGCTTAAAGTAATGGTAAAGCATTGAGAATAGTAAGTAAGTAAATACATGTGCACGTTCTTTAAAGGAATACATTCATCTTAGGTCCTGCTTAGGTGGAAACACTTGTGCTGTGGAGACCTTGATAACTGGAGCAGTCAAGTCTTTGCCCAAGTTGTTGAGCTGACTGCTGAAAGAAGGAATTTGGCTTTTCTCTCTCTAAAGAAAAGGAGACTTTATCTGTAAGTGAAGCCCAGAATTAAAGGGGGAGACTTGTGCTGTTCAGCCTGTTTTCAAACATCACTTGGCTGAATTGATTAGCACAAGTAGTCACAGCTGAAAATTGTTTTGAATTGTATTTTTCTGCACTTATTTTGGTTATGTAGAAATGGGTTGGTGATTGTTAAACATTTTCACATATGCAGACACGTGCCTGCCGTTAGCAATTCCTCTGCTACCAGCCAGCATACACGGGCTCTGTGTGCTCCATCACGCCGTACGTTGCGTGCCACTCCGATTTCCTGGGCAGCAGCAGGGACTTCAATGAGTTCTTGCTAGATTCGTGCCTTCTTTTCAGTATTATCACAAAAATGGTAAAGATTCCACCTGGAACATAAGGAACGATGGTTGATTTTCAGATGAGAATGGAGAAGTGTCAGGTGAGGTTTGTTCTAGTGCTTTTTGACTGCTGTATTATCTTACAGGAATGAAGTTTTTTCTCCTCCTACGCTTGCGCACAAAAAAGAGTTGGCCAGCTGTAACAGCTCAGCTTTGGAGTTTCAGCTTTACCCTGAAAGCCACAGAAAATGGCAGCGGGTTTTAATGAAATCACTGTTACTTGTTTTTCTGTTCCTCATTACTCTCTGCTCTGTGGCACTGTCATTACCCACCTGGCATCTTATCAATGCAGACTTGTTGCATTTGTGCCACCCCTCTGAAAGACCTTGTTGAGAGATGCATTTGCTCTGTGCAGTGCTCATAATGAAGCACAAGAAGTAACTGACCTAGATTAACTTTGAGTCTAGACCGAGATCAGGACTGTCAGAAAAAATTACTTTTAGGTTGGGCATAGACACGGAAATAATTGGCAAATATCAAGTACTGTGACATTTTTTTGTTTGTTTCTGGCATAAGCATAATCAAGGAAAAGTGATCTTAACAGCAGAGCACAAATCTGTCGCAGTGATGCAATATGTCCAGACAAATACATCCAAATTTAGGTTGTGTGAGCAGACAGTCTCACTGCAAACAACTGATCTGTTAGCCCAGCCGTGAAATGCTCGCGGGTTCCGGCGTGGGCTGTTTTCTTTTGCCCCTTTTCTTAGCAAACACTTTGCCATGCAGGACTTGAGTAAGGAATGTTGTTCTGTGACCCCCTCAGCCTCGTTTGTCAGAAACGCCGGTTAATTGGACGTTGTTCCTGCATGGGCAGGCTTTTCATATGCTTCATTTTAATCTACTTTTTCTAATTAATACTTGCTTCAGATGGCATCTGTCTGGGCAGATTTTTGGACCGTAGCCTGGCACAGCGGAATCCAGGCTCCCGAGGTGCGGGAGCTGTTGCGTGGCTCCAAGTCCCAGCCGAGAGGGACCCTCGTCCACTCCTCCTGGGGAGGAGCCCTGTAGCTCCTCTGGCCTCTGCTGCCCTTTTCACAGCCTCACGGGATAGCCAAGACCTCTGGGGCCTTCTGCTCTGAGCCCTGCCCCAGCAGGGCCACCCCAAGCAGGGGGCCCAGCCCCATGTCCAGGCAGCTCCTGGAGATCCCCAAAGAGCCCCCACAGCCTCTGCCCAGTGTAAAGTGATTTTCTCCTCCTCATATTCATCTGCCAAGAGAGGACTTTGATGGGAGCAGCTAATGCTGCTTTGGTGTTGAAGCTCTGCTCTCTTTTGTTCCTAGCAGGGAGCGATGCACCTGCTTGATCTCTCCTCTGCCTTTTAACAGCAGTGAGCCACACGGGGGGACGCGTGTTCAGAAGGCACGGAACAGTGGGGTTCAAGCACAGAAACTCAGGGGTAGGTGGCTTTAATGCCTTAGATTACCCAGAGGAGATAAAAACACTGTGGCAAAAAAGCTGGTAAAGGAAGAGGCATTTGACATGGGATTTCTTTTCATGTCCCTGCACACCGATCAGCCTCAGCTTGAACACCCCTCTTCCAGCTTGCTCTGCTGATCCTTTCACAGTCAGTAACAGCTGCTCAGTTTGCATCATAAAGTTTGGGGGAAAGTTTAATCAGAGGTAACAAGTCATTTAAAGCTACACAACTCTTATTGTTCCTTTGCTAAGGTTACAAATGCCTACTCATCGTTGTGGGATGCACATTGGGTTGTGGGATGCCCTCTAATGAGCTAAGTGCAGCAGGTGCCTGTTTTCCATGCCACTGCCTGCTTCCCCCAGTCACTGCACTGAATGGGTGGTCTTTGACTGGAAAAATACCATGGGGGCAGAGGGGATGCTTTTAGGAAACCTGAAGTCCCATGCATGGGAGGAAATCACCCGTTTTCCTACCTTTGGGCAGCCAAGATATTCCTGTTTTGGAGGCTGTACGCAGACAGAGCTGCTTCCCAAGGACAAACAACAAACGTTCATTATCCCACGAGCTGTAATATTCAGCACTACCCCTCCTTACTAAGGGAGAAAGGACTCGTGTTTGCATAGAGAGCAGCACATGAAAGTGAGAAGTTGTGTGGGGTGAGAAGCACATGTTAAAGGGTGGTTCGTGCATTTAAACCACACTCAGCCTGTTCACCATGTGACTGCAGTCTGGTTCCAGCACTGACTTCATATTTGTGACACCATAGGTCACTGTGCTGTAAAGATACAGGGAAATTAAGGAATATGGGGCAGTGGGATGGCTTTGAGCTCCGCGGCCACTTTTGATAGCAACAGAAGGCACGCCAGCTCGCTGCTTCCTTTTAAAGGGATGAGCAACCAGAAGGACCTTTGGTAGAAACCCAGATTTCAGGAACTGTAACATACACCACCCAGAGCCTACTGCTGGCACAACCCGAGGCTGGAGAAGATGATGCTCACCTGCTGAGAGAAGGGCCAGGAGGACGATGGCCAGCGGTGCCAGCTGGCAGGAGCTGCCCACCTTGTAGAGGAAGGCCTCCATGCAGTACTGCGGCTCCGTGCTGCCCGCGGGGCAGAAGGCATCAGGGGGGCACTTGGTTGGTTTCACGTCTGGGCTCTAATCGAGAGAAAAAGCAAGTACTCAGCAGCAGCCAACGGGGAAGGCAGCAGCAGTGTAAGCATCGCCTCTGCTCCATAATGAGAGCTTCTGGGCCTGGGGCACGCTGTGAAAATCTGCTTTATAAGGTACTCACTGCCTTGCTGGCTCAGGAGAGAGATTAGAAGTGACTCAAGCCCCCACATGAAGCCCTTGGTGGACACAAACTGGGGCAGAGAGGCAGAACTAGCAGCCAGCCACCTGAAACTGCAGCATCGCCAGCATCAGGTGCTGGTGGTGCTGTGGCTTCTCCTTTCCTGGCCCTCAGGAGCCGAGGTGGAGCCACCTGTGTGCTCGCCCAGCGGGTAACTGCACCCCTCTGTGTGTGTGGGCTGGGGGCTGTGCAGAAACCAAGGGGTTAGGGGACAGACAGTGCTGCAAACAGCTGGGAGACACCAACACCACCCCAAATCGTATTAATGGTGAGTGTGAAGGGGTGGCGCACGTCAGCACTAGAGGAAAACAACCCCAAAATGAACCTGCAGTTGTTCAGTTCGGCCTGACAGGCTCTGTGGTGTTACTTAGAGCAGGGTGAAGGGAGAAGGTGTCATTATCCAGCCAGTCCACAGGCCAAACAGCCCAGTTAATGGATACCCCATCCCCTGACAGCCCACCGAGGCCGGGCAGCTCCAAGGGTGGCACAAAGCCAGGCTCCCGGTGTCATAATTGCAAGCGGCTCCCTCTGTCAGGGCTCTGTCTGTATTTAAGGAAAGGAAATAGGCTCAGCTAAAAATGGCGTTAATTAAAAGTGCATTAGCTCGTCACGGGACGTTTGTATTTGTTAAGCCAGGCTGCCAAAGCAGCCCGAGGAGACTCACCGGGCAGTAGTGGTTCTCTGGGCACAGGTCACAGCTCTCCTGGCCCTGCTGCAATTGGTATTCTCCTGGCTCGCAGGGCTTGCACGCGGTGTCACCGGGACCTTTGAACATACCTAAGTAGCAAACAAGCACAAAATTAAGATCTGGGACTAGACCCTGGGGCCTTTGCAAATTGCATATGGATGAGTTCGCTTTCAAAGCCGCAAGGAGAAAGAGCACGAAATACTTGATGTGCATGACAAAAGCTGAGCCTGGACTTTGGTCCTTGCTGGGTGGCAAAGGGGCAGGAAAGGGAGAATAAGTGCAGGGAAAGGGACCAAATGACATCTGGCTTCAGATGTGGAAGCAGTGTGTTTGAGGAGTACAGTGGGAGCTGGGTTCAGTGCTGAGCTGCGGCTTTAAAGCAGAGGGAAGGTTGGAGCTGGAGGTCAGCAGCATTTCATCCCCTCTAATTTGGGATTCAAACACCTTTTCCAGCTGCTCAAAACTTGCCAAGCAAAGTTTAACACACAGCTCAGTTTCCGAAGCTCTGAGGGAGTGACAGGTCAGGAAAGTCACGGGTCTCAGAGCGATTAATGCTGCTTTGCATGGTTAAAGCGTGTGTGACTGCAGCATCCCCGGTGCTCCCTCCATGGTGCAGGCTGGTGGCAGTGCTCTGCAGCCCAGCATTAACCACAGGAGCAGGAAGATCTGGCACAGCACATCCTGGCACACTAGCAAGGGCCAAAAAGAGACCCTCCCAGCATCTTTCCATCGGTGCAGCAGCAGAATTTTGCTCCACAGACATCAGCCGGGGCACTCAGGATGGCAGGGAGCGATGCCCTTTGGGTCAAAAGACAAAAGTTTGGGGAAGAAATCCTCCCTTCTGCTGCTGAAATCACACATACCCTGCTTCCTTGCACTGCCCAAAGCCGTGCAATGCACTGAAATTGTTGTGACCTGTGACTGCAGCCCCCCAATGCTACCCACCTGCCCGGCACGGCGCGCACGCCTCGGCTGCCTCGCGCAGAGCCTCGTGCCCACCGGGACAGGCCAGACACATCGAGCAGCTGGAGGTGCTGGGGAGAGGAGCAGAGCAAGACAACACCATATGACCAGCACGCTTTGAGACCGAGCCGACCCGCTGACGCCCGCTTTTATATCAGCTCACAGCCAGGGGCTGAATTCTCCGCTGTCTACCAGCTTTTGCCATCCTGTAGGCAGCTGTGGTGTCTCTCCCCCGTGTGGTTTCCCCCCTATGTCTAAGGGTCAGGCACATGATGGCATTTCTGGCTTCTCCTTGGTTGCTTGTTTGCATGAAACAAGTCAGAACTCAGTGTCCCAGCTGTTGCTGCTCCCTAGCAAACTCGTGTGGAGCTGCTCGATGGGTGCTGAAGGGATTTAGGAGCAACAGACCCACCACGTAGCCACATAAGCCCCAGAGTCCATTCCTATGGCAATTTACTCAAAGTTCAGCCAAGATCTGCTGCAGCACATGGGACAAGTGAGCACGAGGTGACACAGGCTCATCTGCTTTGGCTACAAAGCCTGCAGCCAGCTAATCCCAGGACACACAAGCCAACAGCCCACTTTTTCTTCACTCTGGGGTTACCCAGCTGTCAGGATGCTCCCCCCATCACACAACCCCTCTCTCACCACAGCTCAGCACCAGCTGGGAGCCACGGTTACACCCCTCTGGCCAGCACGTTGGCTCTCACAGCTCAGTGGCTGCTACCAGATATGCCATCCCATCCTGTCCCCAAGGTCACGCAGGGATTTCTTACTTGCAAAACGATCCTGGCAGGCAAGGCAGACAAACAGCTGCATTTTGCTGGGAGCTAAAATAACCTGGAAGAGAAAAAAAAGGAGCAAGTTATCAGGATCTTTCCTCCACCATCCCTGTCCCCACACTGTCAGACAGTTGCTCATCTTCATTTTACACACAAAGAAATGAGGCACTGGCACAGGCTGCCCAGAGAAGCTGTGGATGCCCCATCCCTGGCAGTGCTCAAGGCCAGGCTGGATGGGATTTGGGCAGCCTGGGCTGCTGGGAGGTGTCCCTGTCCGTGGCAGGGGGAAAGAATTAGATGATCTTTAAGGTCCCTTCCAACCCAAACCATTCTGTGATTCTATGAAATGGACTCCCTCCAGCATGGCAGGGAAGAGGAGAGGAGGCATAGAAAGAAGTACCACGGACTACAGATGAGCAAGAGGAAAGAAAAACTTCCTCCCACGCTCTGCAAGGAAAATGCATCTTTTTAAACCGATAACTGCATAGTATGGGGGCCACGTTCATGGAGTCCTCCTGTGGTCTAGCACGCTGAACAAATTTGCCAAGTGAAGGCAGTGACATGCTGCACCATTGTCACCAGTGACAGTCTCCAACTGCTGCCTAAAACGCTTTTTGCCTCCCAAACTCCCCAAACGATAGCCAAGATTGAGGTGTGAGCTGAGAAGTTCTGAGCACGGCTTTTCAAGAGACCACTTGTGCGTGTAGAAGGAGCTCTTAATTTGGATACAGAATAGCTGCTGCGCTGCATGTGTTAATTAGGCTTTTGCATAAGTAAATGCTGGCCCCTTCTGAACGTGTTGTCACGCTGTCTGCGAACACGCTGTACCAGGCTCATGTTGCATACGTCCAGGTAAAAAAAGGAGCTTGCTGAAAACCCAGCTCGCGATGTCTGGGAGGTAAGGGGAGTGTTACACTTAATATTCAGACTGCAGGAGGCAGCCTAACAAAACAAAACAACAACAAAAAAATAGAAAACCACAATGTTTTAGACTATTTTTTGTTGTTGTAAATAAGAGAAATGTTTTCCCTTCTTGACCCCCCTCACCCCTTTATGCTATAACCAAATTTCATTAAATTTATTTCCTGGTTTTCAGGAATAGGCTTTCCTTGCGGTGTTAGTATTAGCTAGTTGCAAACAGGAACATGATTTGGTCTGAGACCTGTTTTTTTTTTTCCTTTTTAATAAAACATCAATAACAGTAAGAGAGGAGAGCTGCTATTCTATTTTTGGCCTGAACAAAATAACCTGTTTATTCTCCAGTGCTTTTAAGTTACCTGGTAATTGCATCTGGCCCCACAAAAGAGCCTTTCCCAGTCTGATGCGAGCTCATCTGGGCTGAATACGAACCAAACCCAAACTTTACCTTTCTGGCACGCTCTGCAGGCTGCGGCCCCGGACTCGTTCGCGTAATGGCCAGGTGGGCAGGGCGAGCACGCGGTGCTCCTCGTGGTGCTGGGGGGAACAGAGCAGAGATTAGGGTGATTTTCACTCATCGGGGGTCCTCCATGCTTAAGATAGTGGAATATAGCTCTTTTTCTCCACTAACAAGTCTAAAAGCAGGGAAATTTAAATGAGGGAGTTCAGGCAGAAAAATAACAACCTGAAATTGTCTGAATGGTAAGGGGCCAGTGATAAAAAAAATTAACTATTATTAACACTAGCTGTATGGAAATACATACGAGCTATAGGGAAAGGTTCCAATTCTGAGTTCTGGGCCTTAAAATATAGATTTTAGACAGGTTTAAAATAAAACAGGGTTTAGAGTCAGGCTCACATCCACACTCTAGGAAGGTTGGTCTGCATTGGGAAGGTGCTCGATGGTGTTCAGCTCCCATAGTCTGAATTAAGAGGAGCTGCTCCACTGCTGAGAGGTCACAGAGTCGAAAAGGGAGCTCAGCCGCAGGCACTGGTGTGTGGGAGTCCTGACCTTAAACAACAGGGACTGTGGGAATGGGGATGTAACGCGTCAGGCCTCTGGGAGGATGGGAAAGAAAATGGAAAGGCAGAGAAGGAGGAAATCTGGTGCATGCATTACAGAGCCAAATCCCCAACAATGAGCATGTGGGCTTAAGAATTTGTTAACACATGCAGGGATGATTTGGAGGAAAACAAGGACACGCTCTTTAATCCCTTTGGAAACCCCAGGGCTGAGCAAGATTTGTGGAGGAAAAAAAGAAAGCAAATACTTGGCTTAAACCAAGCCAACACAGGGCTCTGCATCAGCTGGAGCTGCTCATGGCCCGGGGGCAGTGGGAGAAGTCCCAATACCACAAAAACTGGAAGCAATGCCACTGGGGCTGCCATGGCTCTTTCTCCCTGCTCCCTCCTTTCAGCCTTTTTCCTCCTTTCCAAAGGCCTGGGACAGAACCGCTCCCTGCAGGCCACCTGGAGCCCCGAGGGGCTAGAAGTGGCCACAGGCCAGGCCGCAGCAGAGGGCCAGGCACCAGGCCTGTTATGAGATCCCTTGGAGGAAGGGAAACGTAGTGTGAGGAAGGAGTTGTGCAAAATGCAGGAACGAAGCTGTTTGCTTGAGGCACCCAGGAGAAAAGCACCACGTCCATGCTGAAGATCCCCCCACCTCAGTCCCAAACGCTGTCCCTAATTCATGGCAGATCTCCGTTCCCCCTATAACATGTCTGAAACATGAGGGGCCACCAGAGAGCTGGACACCGAGAAGCCCTCAGCACAAGCACAACACCACCAGAGGCTCCTGGCGAGAAAGATTTAGCAGCACTGAGCAGGTCCCCTGGGAAAAAAAAAAACTGGGAGCACTTTCCCATAGCCCATGGGAAGAGTTCTGTGAGACTGGGAAGGGTTTTGAGGGAGAAGGTCCCTGCTCTGTGCCACCAGCCACCTCCACCACCCTGGGTCACCTACTTGGCGTAGTGTCCCCGCGGACACGGCAGGCACTGCTGCTGTCCCCACGCGGGCTGGTAGTGCCCCACTGGGCAGGGAGTGCAGGCACCAGGGTCCGTGCACGAGCCTCCTGTGCAGCACGAGCAACTCCAGGCATCTGAAAGGGACAGAGATGGGGGAACAGGGCTGTGAGACTGAACTTCAGCCCCTGGGCTGGTCAGCATGGGGCACAGCAATGAATGGAGATCCAGGTCCTCCAGCAAGACCATCTTAAGGGGTGGAAAATGATGATATTAATGCTAGTGATGGTGCTGTGCTCCATTAGCGAGCGGGAGAACAGCCATAAGACAATGGGCTCAATTCTGTCAACATGGACTTCTGGTGAGAAGACCAAGACTGCTTTTTCCTCTTTCAGTTTGAGGGGAGAAGAGGGTTTTCCTTACTTTCCACCACCACACAAAAAGAAAAAAACACACTTCTTTTGATTCCTTAGCAAATTTACATTTGCAGGAAGCAGAACTGAAGCAGAAAACCCCAAGAGCAGAGAATCTGCCATAAGTAGAACCAGCTTTTCTTTGAGCACAGGCAAGGCAGTATTCCCACCAGACATAAGCTCCAGCAGTCTTTGCTCCACAAAACAGATCTGAGCTACGCAGAACAATCGTGGGATTTGCTGTAATGGCACACATCAGATCCACCGTCCCACTTCTTGCAGCAACCAGCCCTTGGCACTGCAGGGACAAAGCATGGGCAAGACAAGGTCCTGCAGTAACACATCCAGCACACAAGGGTGGTGGGAATTGCCTCCTGTCCTCTGCAGGTTTACCCTAGAGCATCAGCTCTGCTCATGCCTCTCTTGGAAAGAGCCCAGCAGCAGGGGAAGTGCATGGCTTGCATTTTATTTTTTTGTTTTGGTTTGGTTTTTGGGTGGGGACATTGAAAAAACAAATACTTTGCAACATGCAAAGAGCTTCTGAATAAAGTAAACTCTTCACTGCAACAGAGGTTGCCTGGGTGGTTTCTCAAGCCCAAGGGAAAAGGCTGGTTCTGTAGCAGGGATTCATTCCCATTCAACCACTAGAGAGTTTGAGACTTTGAGAAAAGTTTGAGACTTTTCCTGTCTTTGGCCCTCTATGTCAAAAAAAAACATCCTCCTTCTGGTAAATGAGGTTGCACTTGTGTTACACTTCGTGGTTGCAATCCCACCACTTCTCCATCCTGCTGGGGAAACCTCAGGAAGACCAACAGCACAAGGCAGCCACGTCCACGCCTTTCACTTCAGAAGGATGCAACAAATTCACTCGCATGTCTGCTCCCCATCCAAGCCCCCAACACCATGTGCTGCTCTCACCTCCCCCGACCTCTCAACTTTCCCACCTAGCATGGAAGAGCTGGGGCAAGCACAAACTCTTACCATCATTGGGAAACGTCCCTGGGGAGCAAGGGGCACACGCTGTCACGTTCACTCTGCTGCAGTTGGAGGGCACAGCGGTGGTGAGGGACGGAGCTGTTGGTGGATCCCCAGGAGACGTGGTGACATCTGGAGGGGTGGCCGAGGCACCGGTGGATGCGGCTGTGGGTGCGTGAGAGGTGGTCGTGATCCCAGGGATGGTCGCAGTCACCGGCAGGGTGGTGGGCAGAGCTGGAGCAAATGTGTTTGTGCTGGGGTCTGCCGATGGCACAGCTGTGGCCGTGCCGAGGTCTGCGGTGGTGGCCACCCCCCCAGCAGCTGGGGGTGTGGAGGCAGAGGTCGTGGTGGCACTGGGAGGCAGTGGGGTTGATGCAATCGGGGCTGGGGTAGTGGTCAGCTGGCCTAAAGCAATACCTAAGAACAGGAAAAAACATCATTACTGGTCAGATTACTGCTCTCCAATTAATGTAGGCGTCCCATTAGGTTTTTAACAACTGCTTAACCCACAGGTCCCTGTTTGATGTCTAGAAACTGCCTTATTCTATGTTCCATTACAGAGCAATATAGAAACATCACTGGCACACGAGAGACTTATCAAGGACATGCATTAGAGTCCTAGAACCATGTAGGCTGGAAAAGACCCGTAAGATCATCCAAGCTCCATGCTGAGGAGCTCTGACACTCCTAGATAAGGGGCTGTGAGAATTGCCCGAAACATTTGGTTTTGCTAGGGGCAGCCACTGAAGGCAGCTCACCCTGAGATCCCACAGCAATCTGATTTAAGATGCTTGTCAAGTTGCTGCCTGTTTCATCCCATCTTGGTTAAAGGGATCAAGAAAAAAAAAAGTCACGGGTTTGGGATTTCTTTTAAGCTGTTCTGGAGATGCATCCAGCAACCCAAAGGGAACCTGCCCGTGGGCAGAGACTTGATTTGATTCCCAAATCCCTCCCCTGTAAGAGCAGTGGTGGCTTCTTAGCCAAAAAGCCATCATCTTCAGAGAACTGGGGTATTACTGCCGTTCAAGTTGTTTGCTGTAATCCATAATAGACTGAACTCGTATCTGCTGATGACAGCAATCTCTCAGCACATGACCATGGGAGATGGATGTTTTCCAGTCTCAGAACGGAGGAAAAGCCCATCGAGCTAAACAAAAGAGAAGGAGCAGGTCGGTTTTCATTTAGCAGCGCCGTACTAAGCAAACAAAGCAAAACAAAACCAGCCCATTCATGCCACCACAGCACTCACATCAGCTTGGGTCGGGAATTCAGGGCAGGGATTTCCTCCATCAAATAACTGCAGCTTCTGAAAACATGCAGCTTTGTACGGCATCAGTCTGCAGCTATGGCTGCCCGTTGCTTTTTTTCCTCTCACCTGCCCTCTTATGGCAAAGTGCTAATGTGTGGTATAAGCAGTTCAAGGGCGCACACACACCCCTTCAATTCTTTTAATAAGACTCGTTAGTTACTGGAAGCCAGAGGTTCACAGATATGCCCAGCTACTCTCTTGGAGGCAGCTGGGAAAAAAACAAGTAGCTCTGAAAGTAAAGGATTTGTTAAATTGCCAGGAATAGCGATTATAAGAAGGCATCAAACTCAGCAGGCAATTAAGCTGTTTCTGGAGTGCGTCACCTAAGAGCTGTAAGTTACGTCAGGTTTTATTTCAGGACCAAACGGGTGACTCAGGGCCCAGCAGCGCGTTCCCAGAACTGTCACTCCCCATCACACAAGGTTTGGGCTCCTCCAGCCACCACAGCAAGGGGCTGCCAAAATCAGGTGGCCTCCAAGGGGAAAGCAAAAGGACTATTTTAAGAAGCTGCTTTAGGAGGGTGATGGAGACTAGAGAATGCAGCTGACACCCAGCGGCAAGATGCAGGTGAGGGATGAGAGCTTGGAGCCACACCATGTGGTGGTTGTGGACACACGGGTCACTGCAAGGTCCTTCCCAAGCCAGCTCTTTGAGCTCTCCTCAAGCCTTTGATTTCACACTCTTTGGGCCATGTCTGCCCACATGATGCTGGGCACCGCGGGTACTGGTGCTTAGTGCTGCCCCAGCATAAACAGCAACACGCAGATGAAGCTGGCTAGCAGCACCACTTAGGCTTCTATGGCAAAAAGAGGTCAGTGAATAAAAGAGTCCTTATGAAGCTGTGATCACAAGGAAACAACCTCTTCAACGTGCTCCCTCCTAAGCATATACTGACCGCTTTGTACTCAGCGTTTCAGAAGACCCAGTCTTTCTACAAGTCCTGAGAAAGGCAGCAGATGAACACCCAGCTGTCTGGGCCACTGCCCACGTTTTCTGGCTCTATCTCCCAAAACAGAACCACTGAATTTAACAGTGATGTGTTTTTTTTTTTTTTTCATACTTGTTTGTCCAAGATCAACATCCAAGAGACACCAGCACTGGTCTATGCAGCTCTTGGCCATGCTTTGACCAGAGACAGGCGATTCCCCTCCCCTGCCTTAGGGGCTGAAGTCAGTCTGCTTCTCTTTTCTCCTGCCTGGCAGCGAGCCCAAATCTTCATTAAGCTAATCTCAAAGTAAACACTAGAAGCAGTTTGAGGGCACCATAAAGTCCTCCCAGGAAAAGCTCTCAGAAGGACCACGATGTGATCTCCTGCACAGCAACCTGTCCCAAACGTTCATCTGCCAGAGACTGCAGTGGATTTCGGTATTTTGGATTGCACACAGCTAACCCACGTCTGGTTTTGTTGTTTAAAAGCAAGGTATTTTAGTTGAATATTACTTTCTCATAAGCTTTCACTGTTTGGTTGGTTCTGCTGTTAAGTGGTGGCACTGTTAAGATGGATTATTTTAGTGAAAGTTGTCCTTTCATAATGTGTTACTAGAATAATCACTAAATAATATTAAATAATTAATAATCATTCCAAAACATCAGTAGCCATCAGTGGCCAGCACTTCATAAAGCTGTTTAAACAACTTTTGGAAGAAAAAAAAAAGTAGTGATGCTGGAAAAAAAAAATAGTTTTGAGCATTTAGACAAAAAAAAAAAAAAAAAAAAAAAGCTAAATGTTTGGTTTTACCAATTACAGCATCACAGGTATGAAAAAAGCAATACTCAACTGACCTGCTCAGCTCTCCAAACAGTTTTCTCTCCACACTTACAGTGTCCACAGGTTTACAGCAGGAATCAGGGATTCTGCTTTCTATAGACAATTTTTTTTAACACATTGAATCAACAAAAGTACCTCCAGAGACACGTGAGGGATGTCTTTTTGTGACAACTTGGCATGGTGTTTTATTCAAAAAAACCTCAAGGATGTCACGGAAGGGAAGTTACTGAACCCTTGATGGCAGAGCTAACCCTTCCTGATTTATAGCACATGCAACCCCGCTGATCTGCAGGCACATGGGCACTGGCTGAGAACTCACAAAATGCAGAAATAGGAGGGACAGCCCCTTAGTTTTTCTTCCCAGCCTTGCACAACAGCACTGCCTGCTATTTGGGAGGAACCAGTCCTTCAAGCCACACGCAACCAAGCCAGTGGTTATCTACGTGACTATAACACTACTTTGGTGAATTAAACAGCTGAATAACAGGCTTTTGAAACGGTGAGTTTCGCCGATTTAATTTCAAGAGAAGGGCTGCCAGGGGGTCAGATGGGAAGGAGCCAAGGAGCTCTGTGAAGCACAAACCGTTCTGGCAGAGCTGGTGGGTCCCTGCCCCAATGAGGCAGGTGGCCATGGACCCCCACCAGTCCCTGACCACTGGTGGACTGCAGGAAGGGGAAGGTCGCAGGGCAGCACCATACCCTAAGAAGTTTCCAAGTTTCACGTGGCCAGACATGCCCTGAAAGAAACCTGGTCTGAAGCCCCAAGCGCAACAAGTTTTGGAGATCCCACACTGCCAAAATATCAGTTATAAGAACGCGGTTATTTGATAGCAAAGCAGTGCAGGAGGAGGAGAGCAAGGAATGTGGCTGACAAAGGCACAACTACAAAAATATTCAGGCTCTTAAGGAGTCCGAGTTACCAAAAACACCTCATGAAAGTGAACGTGCCAGGGCATCCTGTTCCTCTGGGTTTGAGGTAAGGCCGTGCAAAGGCCACTTGTGCAAGTCCTCAATTTGCAGAACAACTAGACCCCCCCCCCACACACACTTTTTTTTCTTTAAAAAGTAGGTTTTTATATTATGCTTTCAGCCCTGTGCATCTTTAACACTGCTTCCAGCACCTCCCTCCCTCTGCCCACCCTTCAGTGGCAAAGCCCAGCGGTGGCACAGTGTCACCGTGTGTCACCGTGTGTCACCCAGCCCCAGCAGGCCTCACCTGTCAGACACGCCGTGGCCAAGCTCCAGAGCAGAGGCGAGGGCCAGGCACCCATTTTTCCCCCGAGGAATGAGGGAGCTGGCCGAGAGGCAGGCCCAGCAGCTTATCTCCCACTGCTAACTGCTTATCCCGCCCCGGGTCCGTGCCCAGCACCGTCAGCTGATGCTGATCATGCGGCTCGGGCAGATCGGCCTCCCCCCAACAAAGGGGGGGTTTAATATTCGGGGACAGCAGCAGCAGGGCTTGCCGAGGCGCTGCTGGCCTCCTCCAGGTGAGATGCAAACTGAAAGTTGAGCAGAGCTGCAGGCCTTCCCCTCTTCTCGTGGGGTGCAGAAACTCAGCGGGCTAAGGGAAGAGGAACAGGCAGAGCTGTGCCTGGCGGCTGGCCAGGCCCCCGTGATCTCCCTCAAGCGAAATGATTTCATTTTTAGACACCTAGGGTTTCCTGCAAGAAGAAAATCAGCCTGGGAAGAACCCCCCAGTTCAAAGCAGCTCCCATTTCAACTGAGACGAGCTGTGCCACAACCAAAGCCCTGCCCTGGTGAGCTCAGCACTCGCCCCCCAATGTGACGGGCCAGGTTGTTGCTGTCAGGATCAAAGCCAGCAATCCTGATGATGGGTTTGGGGTGAGGCCCCATCCCATCTCCTGTGTGTGTACCAGCAGCTATTCTGCTCACTGTTTGTGCCTCATTTACAGCCACAGAGACTTGGCTGAAGGAGGCACAACCTGCGTGATTTGGGCCATTAGGCCGTGGCAGCCCCCCAGAGCAAAGCACAAGCTGAGCTTTGTGAGCTCTGACACAAACCCCAAGCGCTCCTCACCAGGGCCCGGGTGGGTTTGTCACACACAGCCCACAGTGCATGTGCTGGGTGTTCTCGCACCTTGTGCAGGCTGGGAGGTTGTGAGAGGGAAGTGTTGGAGGTGGTTGTTGTTGGTGTAGTCCCGCTGCACAGAGGGACTTCAGTGGTACCCAGAGCTCCTGACAGGGTCTGTAACCAGGGATAGGACCAAAGGGAACAGCCTCAAGTTGTGTCAGTGGAGGTTCATGTTGGAAATGAGGAGACATTTCTGCTCAGAAAGAGCAGTCAGGCGTTGGAAGGGGTTGCCCTCACCCACAAACCCTTCCCATGCTCCTCAACAAAGCCCCGAGCATAGCAGGAGGGGAGGCAGGCCGCTTCCCTCAGTTGCTTCAATCACCAGACAAGTTTAAAACATTCTTCAGGCAGGGGCTGGTGCAACTTCAGGGCAAGGAAGTACAAATTGGTTAATTTATAAACTTCTGGCCTGCCCTGGCTGGTCTCAACTGAGACAAAATGCCTCTGCTGGTTGGTTTGCAGGGGATAAATAAAGAACAGCACTGTGGCTGATCAAAAGCAAGGCCCGAGGCTGGCGCAGGGCCCTCTTCTGATCAGTTCAGCTGCTCTTCCAGAGGTGGTGAACCTCGTGTCCCCAAACGCACCAGGTACTACCCTCACCCTGGGGTTTCCAAGGCTTTGCCTGCTCCTCACAGTGGTGGCATTCCTCCAGGAGCAGGGCCTGCTGCTCAAACACACCAGCAGTTTGTACCCACTGCCACCCATCACCAAATGACCGCAAATCCCTTTGGTGTTAGATATCCAAGTGACTTATTTGTTTGCAGGCTGCTTGTTTATTAAATAAGAAACCCTGAGCAGGGAGAGCATCTCTCAAACATCAGTGAAGTGTGGCAACACATTCCTGCTTTGCACCCTGTCACTGAGCCTTGGGTACCTTGGGGACATCCTGCCACATCTATTGCCTGGGAAACAGCAAGATAATCAGATAAGGGGCTACGAAGTGCAAGCTGGCTTCAGATATGTGCTTTTTTGGAAAACTGGTTTTCTTCACCCTTGTGGGCATTTTACAGTCATACTACACTGTGGCTGCATACAGAGATGGTACCTTCTGGCCAGTGCTCCCTCTTCCAGAGGGGAAAAAGCGCTTGGAAGTTCCTGACACCCACAGGGAACTCTATGCCTGTCTGCTGGATTGGGAAGCAACTGGGAATCCAGAACCCCCCTTCAGATACAGGGTTCTTCCAGGCCCAGGTATACAATTCAACTCTCATACAACAGCACAGGAACTCAGAGCTTTTCAGGTCAATGACCCATCAAAAGTCTGTGATTCAGCAATATAAATATGATTTATCCTCTGAAAGCTCTCCAGTAACTTACCTGCAAGATTGTTATGAGCATAGGCAGTGGATGAGCTTCCCAAGGAGCACAGCCTTTGCTCAAGGAGCACGACCAGACTCCTCGGCAGTTCTAGGCAGACCGTGACCTTGACGAGCAGAAAGGCAGCCACCAGGAATTTCCTTCAGTTCAGGGGGAGGGAAGCAGTTCTGCCATGTGCTGCTCATGGACCTTAACACCTACCTTGTGCCTAGAGGAGGGCCAGGACACTTCTACGCTGGTAGGAAAGAAAAGCAAGGCAAAACCACCAACACATCCCAAGGCACGCACACAAGTGCTTTTTGTGCTCTAACACAGATTAAAACCTGTGCCTGACCGAATGGCCACATGATGGCACCACAGCTTTGAAGAGTGAAGACATCACCACGTTTCCGTCAAGACTAAAAGCATCCTAACCACAAAACAGCAGCGTGATCTTTTTAAGCTGCACCAGCAGAAACCTTCATAATCTGTTGTGCAGATGGAAGAACAAAACCCACAGAAGAGAGGCTGGAGGAATCCAAGTAATGGGTTATTACAATCAAATACCTCAAAACTCTTCCTTTAAAAATATTTATCTTCTGGATTTAGAGGGAATTAGAAACAGTGACAATAGCCAGGAGAAAGGTATGCTACAGCAGCAGATCCGAGTTTATCCAAGCAAACGCATGACAGTACAAAAACTGAATTCAGCAGTACTGCTCCCAAACACTAAATATTTTCTTCAATTAGCTCCCATCAGTTAAAAATGGGGTCTTCAAAAATGATGTGTAGGACTCCAGAATGGACCAGTGTCAGTCTCCTCTGTACAGTCAGTGTTAAGGATGCAGGTTAAATGTACTTAGTGCTCTGGGGTAAAAAAAAATAAAAATAAAATAAAATACATTGGTCAGCTGCTCTACAGCAGAATCTACAGAAAAAAAAATGATTTAATGAAATAAATGGAAGTCTCCCAGTAAAAAGGGAGAAAGTGCAGTTATCTGAAGCGATTTCCAAGCAGCTCTCAAGGATCAGATACAGCTGAGACACCAATGGCATTACCACGTCACGAAGGATCGATCACTCAACAGCAACTGAAGACTCTCCGGCACATTGCCCACGTTTTTGTGGGTCTCATGGGGATTCAAACCCTGAACATTCAACATGAAGATGTCAGATGTCTCCTGCAATAACTCCTAGGGCATGTCCATCACCTGTCTCCTCCATGAAAAACAGCACAAATAAATACCAGGAAGAAGCAAATAGCGAATGCTACTCAGAAACCAAGCTCTTAAAGGCAGTTGGAGGAATCTTCCCAGGTCTGGTATGATGTGGGTATCCTGAAACACAGCAGGTTCTGAAAACAGTTACCTCTTCTGCTTTGGAACCATCACAAGTTTTGTTTATTGTCTTATTTTTCCTTTCCTGCTCTCAGGACATGTAGATGCACTCAGATGTGCATGGAAATGTGAGAGGAGAATATAAAACATGTCAGAGCTCAATCAGAAGCTGTCAGGAATACTGGACAGCTTTAGGACAGTATCTGAGTCATTAGTCCAGGTCTTAAAACCACAAGACTTGGTATTAGAACGGAATCCTAGACGTTTTAAAAAAGCCAACTACTTGGCTAAGCCAGCTATGCTTTCCAAAATGTCTAGTGACACAGATGACTGAAAATAGATGGGTCTCATTCTGAATAGGCCATTCTCAGGAAGACAAGGCAACCTGGCACATCTTTACTCATGCAAAATGGATTAGTGAGTCACTCTTCTGGGTGCCAAGAAATCCTTCACAAAGCAAATGCCCTATGAAATAGGCAAAATGTGCACCTCAACCTACTCTCAAAGCTTTGTCACAAGAGTTTTAACAGAGCAGTTGACCTGGAACAGAATTTCCTTCCCAGCTATTCGATAAGGTCGGAGTGACACAGGAGAGAAAAACCTCAGACTATGCCTGGCACTGTGCAAGCGCAGGCAAGTGTAGCGGAGCCATGTCACAAGGCCATTCATAAAGCTGGAACAAGGCCAGCCACACGTGTCCTTATAACTCAATACTGAAAGGTAAGTCCTCATGCTGTATCACGGAATAAAGTAGACCACAGAAATGGCATCTGTGAGCAAGAACAGTTTCTGGGAGAAAAAGCAACAAAACCCACAAAAATCTTCCACATCATGCTAAAATTGAGAGAAGCAGTCACTGCCATAAATCAGACAAAGAAGGCGTTCAGCAAATAGTGTTTATTCCACGCTTTCTTACCATGCAGGCCATCCATGCATAGCATTTCTTCTTCCTTGGACCACCGAGTCTAGGCTGTGGTTGGGTGCTCAAGTAGATGCACACCCACACTGCGGGGGCACATCGCCCAAGGTTAATCAGCTTTCACTGAATCCACCCAAAAAGCAAGAGCAGGTATTTTGATCACACCTCCTACTCACAAATATCCCAACCAGCTAAGCTAGCAGATGTCAACTTTGCCTCTGTAGATGCATTTCAAAGTTGACATTTTCATGTGACAAATCTAAAATGGATGCACATCATCATCATGTCATTTATTTGGTCTCAGGCTAGTGGCACTCATTAGCTCAACTGTCAGCATAATAAGCAGAAGTTAATTAAAAGAGTAATCAGTCCATTTCCTTAGAAAATCTAAATTTTTATTATACATACTGTATTACACTGAAAATACGTACCCAAAGACAGAATATTTTGAATTTACAACTGTACAAAAAAACAATAGAAAACATACGGGCTATGCGATAGATGTAACAATTCACAAAATGACATTTCTCGTTAAAGGCACCAGATTCCCAGAGGGCTCTGGCTCAACATTTTTTAGTCTTTTTTTTTTTCCAGTCAGATCATACTATGAAAATATGATTCACTCTTCAATTGTATAATGTCAAAGTCTCACACTCCTTGCAACTAGACAAGCAATCTGCACTTTGACATGACTTAGTCAAATTACAATTTCACACAAAGGTGTCAAGCAACTACCAGAGGCTCCTCTCCATTGCATCCAGTATCCTATGGTATTTAACTGAAAGGTTAAGTGGCAAAGCTACCAGTGAGGAAACAAGTTAACCCACAGAATACTGGCCCAACACTAGAGTGTTAACCATACTAAGTCTGGACAGCTTTGTATGGAGATAACTACAGAGAACTAGAGCAGGAAAAGTGTTCT